CATTCTCTACAGACTGATCAGAGGTAAGAGGAGCTATAAAGCAGCATTAAACAGGAAGCACACAGTAAATATGTTGTGATCCAATATAACTGCCACGTGTGCACATATACATATATATATATATATGTATAAGAAGTAACACCATAAAACTATGAAACAGCAAACAACAGCAGTTACATAAATAAATACAGTATAGGAAATATTACAACTATAAAAAAAATGTGCCAATGTAATCAAAATTACATTGTAGTTCCCCTTTAATCAGAATGCACAATATATTTAAATATGTATCTAAAAATCTCTACAGAGATTCCCTTGAACAGATTGACATAAACTTTGGAAATCTGACACTTTGCTCAATGTACATTTATAGCAGATTATTAAAATGTAGGTTTTTTCTTTGCCTGCTCTACGTGCCCTGCTTTATTATATAAACACCACCAAAATTCATGCCATTTCTAAGGCTGCCCATAGACATAGATCACTCCATTTTCTGTTGAAAATGTTCATGTGCGCAGTGCGATCATGTAATATCCAAATAATGCTCCAAGGAGCAGGGAATGCACATATCTCTTGCATACAATTGCTTGGTTCTCTTAAGATCGATAGGCAGCCATGCAAAAAAATTGCTACTGAAAAACTCCAAAAACTGATCTTTTTGAAAAAGTTCTCTTACAAAAGAAAAAGCTTGAATATTGTGTGTTTCTTCACAGCTTCATCTTATTTCCTCCAAGGGACGATCCTGCTTCTACCCAGAATGGACATGCGTGATATAGAGTACATTGGGAGATCTCTACACAGGCTATGACATCATGATATTTATTACAGGTATTTATGTAGCGCCGACAATTTACGCAGCGCCTTACATAGTTGCACATTTACATCATGGTACACGGGCTCAATAAATTAAAGGGAAAGGGTCTAAATCATTTTTTTGTTGCGCCATTGAACTCTCAGTTTACCCTATAGGCTCATTTCACAAAGCTTTAACACAAGAAATGGCTTTAATTTAGTCATGTGTCTGTAATGCTCAATTCTCACTGAACTCAAATGAAAATAACAGTTGCTCTTTGGAATAAAGGATCCTTGTCTTTATGTGTTAGCTTTGTGAATGAAGCTAAATGTTTATTCAATTAAATATCCATCATTAAATCTTTATTACTAAGATTTTTTTAATATATAAGTGTATCTGTTACATCATTTTTAACATGACCAGAGTAATTTTCTGGCTGATCCAGAGCAAACAGACTTGTCCCTGCCAAAGCTGCCTTGGAAAAGCAGTCAATGCTTTACACATGATTGTCCATTTAGTACATAGACACGGTGAATTGTAAAGGCTACTGTTCTAATTATTAACTTAAAAAGTAAAGTAAAGGGAACATTATGGGTTAAACAAATAGACAGTGAATCTGTCACTCAGATAAAGTGGATTGTGCCCTTGGAAATCAGAGATAGTTAGCAACTATAGTAATAATGTTTTATCATAAGAAGGCAAAGGATAGACTGACAACCTCTGAAAGGTCTAACGCTGGGAATGCTGTAACAGACCAATATTAAAATCATATAAAGCATCACATGTCAAGCTTTGATCTTTAGAAGGTCAGCAATGCTTCTGATCTCTGTCGGTGACAACTGAATTACGTTTGTTGTGGTTAATGCTAAATTAAGAAAACCACAGAACTTATCGGCTAATCTAAACTACTGTACACTATCAAGACAATGCAAGTGTGCTATGTATAGATTAGGGAGAACTACCATATCATCACAAGACATTGATAGTAAGAGTACGGTGTGTCCAGCGACTGGGTGCTACAGAAATAAGAATATTTAAAAACTTAAACTTTATGCAGTAGGAGGTAAATTCACTCCATTAGTCTGTCATCGTCACTGGATTTGTTGTTAAGGAATTGGCCCGCTAAGCCTGCTGTTGTTAAGGAACTAGTAGTCCAAGCATGTCTTGCCAGGATTCTGGGACTTGTAAGTACTCACCAAATAAAGGGCCATAAACTGCCCAAGCTTCTGTATGATATATACAAATCATCATTATTTTCTCACCGTTTGAAGTTCTGGGTTCAATTTTACCTACAGCACCATCTGTGTACACTTTGTATATTCTACATGTGTTTATGTGAGTTTCCTTCACCTTTCTCATGCAATAACATAGTATTGGTTTCATCCTGGACTGACCTTAAAGTAAGCTTGTGAAACTATGCTAAGGGCATTAATGCACCTATAGCTATCAGATGATTGTCATCTGGCTTCGTGATTTCAGCATTGCCAGGGCCTCAGCAGAGCTCTGTCAAAGGACTTAGCTGGAATTTTTTAACCAATAGCATTTTGTTCCAAAACAGTCTGCACTTTATATAACAGTGTACCTTATGTACACTGTTGTACGTGTATAAACACATGTTCATGCACCAGTTAGGAAAACTATATTCTCCGTTGGCCACTTTGGAGATATCCACCCATAATTGAATGTCTTTGACCAAGTCTAGGATGTAAGCTTCTTAACAGCGGACTTATGGGAATGCTCAGTGTTCTATGCAGGACTCTTTAACCTTTCTTATATCAAGGATTCATTTTTGGTTTGCCGCTGTTCTGAGAATCAGGAAGCTATTTTCTATCCAATATAAAATAATGCCACATCTCCTAAATAGGGTATACACGAAGTTAGCCCACTTTGGCTCTCCACTGATCAGCTTTTGTACTAGTGCTGTAAAATAAGTGCATATGGTATACTGTAACATAACTTCAATTAACATGAATTAGCAAATATACTGAAGGACTGCTAAATTGAGCAGGTGGTCCCTTTTGCACCACTTGTTGCATGGGGCTGTATATGTGATTAATGTGGTAAATAATAATAAATAACATAATAAACATATACGCCGGCCCTTGCAAACTCCTCAAAAGATTTTCTTAATGACTGTGACCCAAACCATACATTTTGGCCCGGGTCAGATGGTAGTTCAGACTGTTGAACTTTTTGAAATTTCAGCACCTGAAAACTCTTACATAAAACACATTTTCTAATTGGCTTATCATTTGTGATGTTCGATGTGAACGCATGTATAAGCTTCTAAGAACGCTGTTGATCAATATACATTCTTTAGATAAGCTGGCAGATCGAAGGGCAGCGGTCAAACTTGGGGCCATCAAGAGCTACATGATTTAATACGGTTGAGAAACGCTGCTTTCGAATTCCTAACTATAAGACTCCGATAAGGTGCACTCATAAAAATAAAAAGCGTGACGCAATTAAAACATTGTCAAGTTGGTGAATTAACAATGCCACACTTGTTCTTGGCAGCAGAGACTGTTCCACACAATATTTTGATAATTATCAATAGTGGTAAAGATTGTACACCGGATTCGCCTTGTCCCTGGCACACAGATAGTCTTGTTTTCACTCTTGAAAGGCTGTGTTTGATTTACACTTCTTTTGCTTCAAGTAAATGAACTTAGGCACTGACTTCTCGCTGACTGGAAGCAGGCTCTGCTATTGGCACAACCGGGGGAAGTATTCCCCTCTTCTTTTTTTAAAGCCTCTGGATTGTCTATCTAGAGGGAGTTTTAAAAATAATTAATTCATAAAGAAACGTGCAACCATTTATACTGAGAGTAAATAAACACGGCAGAGGCAGGCCATGCGAAAGTCTCAGACTGTTCCTTACTTGGCAGCACGGCGTTGTGATATTACATTGCCTTAATTGACTCTGAAGCTGATATTTTAACTTCAGCATGCAGACCAAATGGGGGAAGTGCATTGTTGTACCTGATAGATATGTTGGTAATTCTAATGAATGGACATAGACAGTCAAATCTGATGTTGACAACAAGGCGTTTCCATGACCTGCCACAATGTGCCTCACCAACTCGCCATCACATGCTTGTGACGCTCAAGTGGTTGACAAACCATTCCCTTTTCTCTGGAGTAGGGGCAACCAGTTCAAAGAGGCTTTAAAAAAATTCTAAACTGTAATAAAATTTCTGCCAGTGACATGCAAAAGTGTTATGTAGTTAATTCCTATGTGACCTGTTTATCCCAGGCGATGAGATTTTGCCACTTGCAAAAAGTTTGGCCAACGCAAAGAGAGTATCTACAGCATTCACTTTAAAGGGGTTACATTAATACGAGTTTTAAGTAGATATTTTATCTAACGTGATAAAGATTTTTGTTCTATCCCGGCATGCATAATGAGCATTTAGGAAAATGTGGAGTGGTGGAAATTTTCCAGCATGGTGGAAAATTTTTGTAATGCTAGATTATAAGCTCTCACGAGCAGGGCCATCCTAACTCTACTATTGTTCTGAAAGTGTACTGAAACCATCTCCCTCAATTTGCTGTGTTCAATAAAAATGCTCTGCCATGTTGAAGTTATATTTCTTTTTTTTATTGTTTTTTTTTTATCCTCACTAAGCATTTGAAATAAACATGCCGGCTTGAAATTTATTTCGTATACTAAATCACCCCTGAAATCTGTTTCACATCTTAAGCATGAAGTTCATCTGGAGTGTGCAATTCACATTTATAGCTATAGAAAGACTATAAGATATGTATCATTGTAGCAACCTCTGGAGTCCTACGATGCAAAAAGTGACATTTTGGGTGGAATCAGGATTTTGGGTGGAGGAAGCATGCTGTTGATTTCAGTATTTAAATGACAGCGGGAACTTTTGAAAATATTTTCTGCTAAACAAGTGCCGCTGTCATATGTGCTAGTTGTGAGGATTATATAGGCAGACTTTTTGAAACAATCTGTTTCAATTCACTTTTTTACCCAGTGTTTGTTCTGTATTGTCATGCTGAGTTTTTGCTATATAGTTGGAATGCAAAGAATCTACACAAGTCCGGTCCCTTAAAAATACCTGTTTTCAGAAAGAGCAAAAATTCTAAAATTGACGAGTAAAAAACACTTTTGATCCTACAGGATACATAGGCTTAATCAACCTGGCCAATAGAAGCTGAATTCTGGATACTGATGGATTGTGATGCTTACCTGCAGGATATTTGGATGTTGAAGTCTTTGTAGTAAGATCATTTCTTTGACAATCTTGAATGAAGCCAGCCTGTAGCAGTACTCCAAAGTTCGGTATCGCTTGACACAATTCTGGATGTCGTGACCACCAAAATCAACGGATTTGAGAGCAACGGACAGGGTGTCATTCAAGACCAATTTGTATACAGCTTTGGTGTAACCAGAACCCAAATAAAGAACGTTGGACCCCTTGTTAATGTCTTGGCAACCTAGTAAAGGTGGCTGCAGAGACAAATCTATTTTTGAGCTGGGGTGAGATGGAGCAAGAGTGTCCTGATCGGAGATGGACTTCTTTGGGCTTTCCCATTTTTGGTTGTGTTCGGAGGATTGTTGGGCTAGGTCCATCAGCCTCCTCTCCAGAGGTCTCAGCAGCCTCTCTGTAGCCGATACTGGCGCTTGATGCTCCCTGTAGCGGACAACTTCCTGGTACCTTTCCTGGAGCTGCTTGAGTAGATCCAAGGAGCCCCCCTGGCCTTGCCATGATGCTCCTAGTGGTTCTGCAGCTCCCTTATCCTGTATCTGCTGGATATGGTCAAACCCAGGCACGCAGAGTAAATTCAGCACAGTGCCAAGGAAGAAGGACAAACAGAAACCAGCAACCACAGCGATTTTCCTGCGCCTCATTCTCAGTCTGTGTCCAGGTGTCCAGCCTGTGGCTCTTGCGTTCGGATGGAAAGATGAGATCTGCAGCAGACTTTTCTCACATTGTATTCCTAATTCCTGGGACTGCTGGACACCCCCCATATAGGGAAGGCTGCGCTGACACTTGCCTCTGTACCTTTAAAGGGGATGTACCGTGTCACTTCTCCAAAACCGTTGTTTGCTGCTTTCCTGGCATCCGCTCCGTCCTGTTGCTCCGATGCAGCAGCAGTTTTGGTGCTTTCACCTCTCTGCAGCCTCTTCTCACTGTAGATGTTGGCTGCAGGACTGTCAGAGCAGGAATGAGGAGAGGGGGGGAGAGGCGTGCTTTGAAACGGTACTCTTTAAGCCCAGCCTCTTGCTGAGTGACAGCATCAGTCATTCATAGTGGGATACAACACTTCCCCTTCTGCAAGAGGCGTGCATTTTACATTGGGGGCATGTGGCTCATTGCATCTCCTGTGTTTCCAGATCTGTAAAGTCAGGGATGAGCTGAGATTGGGCTACTTGCTTTCCCTCTTGATCCACGCTGGAGAGTGAACACTAGCTGTAAACACAGCACAAGGATTCAGAGATGAACGGGTGCCCCCAGCAGTTTAACTCCTAGTAAAGCAGTCTCTGCACAGGCACATATGGACATGAGAGGGCTCCGGGTGTCCTTGGCTGCAATAGTACAATGTGACCAGCATCCTGCAAAATAGCCATCACATTGCTTTAATATTTCATTCCCTTTCCTTTCCTGTATCCGCACACAATCAAATCCTTTTTATCCCAGAGTTACGCAGAGATCATGCAGCTGAATCTATACTTGCATTTAAAAATGTTGTCATTGTAAAGGTTCATTCACACTATTGCTGTGCATTGGCATCTGTACGTTCACATACTTTATGCCATTCCGCATAATATTATATTACATGATATGGTAATTTCTAAGGATTTGATACATAGATTGTACAATCAAATTGTAGTGTATGGCCAGCTCTAAACTGATTGAAAGCAATGAACATCAACTCCACAGGGATGTTGACTGCACTGCCTAGCATACAAATGGCCACATGATTCTTTGCTTGCTATACCAACTACGGCCATAATAGTTGGTTATTATTATGGTTCTCATATTATAATAATTGAAATATAATCTTCTTTTGAGATAAAATCAAAGTCTTAAGTCCCATTTACACCTGAGTGTAGTCGAAACACACACCACCACGACCCGCGTTCGTGGGCGTCTGTTTAGCGTGAATCCCCATTGATTTAAATGGGTTCCTGGAAGCCAAATGCGGGAAAGTAGTACGTGTCGCAAATTCTGCGACATGCGTTCTGCGTTGTTTCCTGCACATTCTCACATGTTAACTAGTAATGGCAATGCAAGTGTGTTCCAAGTTTGTGCGCATTCTTGTGAACGTGCGTCAAAACGCGCACAATTTTGTGCGAGTTTGACACGCTTTCACCATACGCCAATAAGTGTGAACAGGGACTTATAGTAACCCTCTAGCATAGTATGTAAACTCAATCTCATATAAGCTTTAACATGTTAATGTAATATCAAATCAATTTAAATATTTCTAAATCTGAAGCTTTTGTTTAATAAATACCTAGTCGTCCTGCCGTGAAGGTCCTTGTTCAGGCATTTCCTGTGATAGGGTGACAACGCTTTGTTCCTGTCTCCCAGTTGTTCACTTGTGTTGTCACCCTGTCACATAGGCTTCTGATGGGAAATACAAGTGGCTGTTTCCCATAGAGGAATAGTTCACTGTTGTCACCATCAGACAATCGGCCGTGAGAAATGCTATGTAGCCATTGCTGGAGTAACAGAAGTGGCTGCATAGAGGCTGCAGGAGATCAGCAGCATTGAGATGCAATAAAATAAAAAAAAAGTGAAAACAAGTATTTTAATTATAAACAAATGGCTATTGTGGCAAATACACAGAACTTCAGCAAATTAAATGTCATTAAGCTGGGGCTTAGATCTATTACCTCCATCCTGTTTAATGCCATTTATGAATTCTCTAGCATACAAACAGAAAGCACTTGCAAAGTCCACTGTAACTGTTTATTTCATGTTCACTGTTTCCAATCAGCATTTTCTCCATGACAGATAATCAGCAGCTACTCAAAATATATTTACCATATAATGCCAGAAACAACGGTGTTAATTACACATTGCAATAAATAATTAGGCAAATAAACAATGCTGGTCACATGTATTGCCCCCACAAGAAATAAATACAGTTCATGTGTATCATTAGGAATGCACTGCTTTAATATTTGTCTAGCTGTTGAATAAACACAGTGGGCAGTGGTGGGTGTTTAGACAAGATTATCTGACCTTTGGGGGGGTGTGATGATTATCTGATGCCATTAAACAGACAATGTATTCAATCTTTTATCTCTTTTCAGAGTCTCCTGATAAACAAACTGGACACAAAGGAAGCACTGACCAGCTGGGATGGAATCAGAGAGGCGTTAGAGCTGGAGGATGCTAAAGGTGGCCTCACACGTATTGATATAATCATAATCATCGTTCAATGGAACCAAAATGATCACATTGACCAAAGATCCTAAATCAATCAATATGGTGAACTCTTGATCAACTTCAAAGATAATGGGCTGTGGCAGAATTTTAATGAACGCCGCTGATCAATCGAGCAAATATCTGCATGTGTCAAGAGAACCAATCATAATTCAGATAAATGTTATACCTCCCGAAAGTCCTGATTTCTGTGGGATTGTCCCGGGATTTGAACCAAATCCTGAATCCTGCGGACCATGTCCAGGCCCTGGGTGCTGAAATGCTTGTTCCAGCACCAGTGCAGGTATCTGACTCTCTGGCTTGATTTTCCAGCAGTAATGGGCATTTCTGCCAGCTGGAGACGCCTCCCCAATGAAATGTTAGCTGCCATTGGCCCATAGTGCAGGACTGTCAGTCATTCTGTCTGTCCTCTCTGACCCGTGTAGGGCAAATATCCCCCTGGGTGTTTCAGGTGTTGGATGTAACCCAAGGCCCATGACACTGCAGGGTACTAAAACCTACCTGTTGAGGTAACTGGATCTGTGGCTTTTATTGGAGTTGGAGTGAACCCCTACTGACCATATTCTGTATACATGGCAAAATAGAAGGGTCTGGGTTAAACAGGACATGGAGCTATAACCACCTGTAGCTCTTCTATATGTCTGGGACTACAGGTACCAACCACCATAAGGTGCATGTGCATTGCTTTACTACTAAATTTGCGAAGATGGCATCTCAAAGGGAAGTGTAGGGGGTGGTGGGGGTCAAGTAGCGCAGTTTGCTGTCTACATCCGTTTGTAAATAATTTTCGATGGAAGTAAAATGCAGTGTTTGAATATTGAACTGGATCTTATGAAACAGAGTAATCTGCAAACCATGCCGGCCATGCATGTTGCAATTTGAAATGTTTGCAACCAGCTTATGATCTACATATCGACTGCACATGGTCATTACAATGTACTGCCAACCGTTTTTAAATCACACGCACCTGGTGCGTGCGTGTGTTTAGGTTAGTAAATCACCCCCATTGAATCAATCGAAACGTTTGGTCATAGACTGATTTCACCAATTCAGGTTTTTTAGCAATTGACAAAGTTTGGGCTGGTAGGGGAGTTTGAAGTACCACAACCCCAAATTATCAAAAAAAAAATTAAAAATTCAATAAGACTTTTATGGTGCTGAGAAAATACCTATACAAGAAATACTTTTTTTTTTTTATTTAAAACACTTGTCAATAATACATACATGATATAATATACAATTCTTGCTATACCATAACATGTACACCGTAACATGTACAAAACATTAAAATGACAACCCCTTCTATAAATAGAGTCTCCCAATTTACTACACATTTCTTTATAATCAAATATTTCAACCAATCCGAAGGGTAGTTTCCACTGGTGAAAAGGGAGTAATCCTTTCTTGGCACTTTTCAAATGTTTGCTTTTTCAGGAGATCAAGGAAAGGAAATCGCTATAATGTTATATTGAAACAATAATTAGAAATAGCACCTACATAGGCATTAGCTACATTTTACTATAAAAATATATAGAACTGATGCTTACATTTAAATACTGCCCACTATCTTTGACAGCAGAGGTCAGCCCTGTATCCCCCAACAAGGAGAGAAGAGCCCACTGAGATAACTCAATCAGTCAGCATATATATTCAAATTTTCTAAAGATATTTCTGGGAGGTGATTATATTTAAATGGAGGATATCTGAAGAGTTGGAATCCTAATGTGCTTGAAAGAAGTGTTGTGAAGGAATAAGATAAGATAATTGGGGGTAATGTGTTGGCTATACATTAACATTTTTATCCTTGGAAATGTCCCTGCTTTTCAGATGCAGTCATTTCCACAATAAAGTCTTTGCATTTTAGATGAGTGTTTATCTTCTTCCAGTTTTCTGGGGCTTTTCAAGTTTTTTTAGGACCTATGTTTTAAAGTGAACCTAGTTGACTTAAAATAAGTACAGCCATATGGTACTAAATTTCTGGTCTGATCCAATGAAGATTTGACTATAAAATGAAGGTAAGGTTGATCAGATGATTATAAAAATTGATGTTTTTTTTCTGATTGTATGTGCTGATGATGTAGTGAATTATCCATCATCCTTTCCTTTGTAATAATTTTTGGCCATCTCTTAACCAGTTGTTGAATGGGTTGTTTGAAGCTTTGCTAGATCAAAAGGACAATTGACCTATGAGTGGCCAGTCTACATGCTACTATGGATTGGCCCAAACTAGATTGTATGGGGCAGCTTCACCCAAACCTGGGCACACACTCACAGATTTCCTTAACCACTTCAAGACCAGGTGTTTAGACCCCCTTCCTGGCCAGGCCATTTTTCAGTGTTCAGCGCTGCGATACTTTCTACTACGGCCGGCCCGGAGGCAGTTAAAGGAGAACTATGAGTTGAGTGAAAATCAATAATCCTCATAGTTCGAGCCGATGTGTGACAATGAAAGTGTCACACGTCGGCTCAATAGATCGGGAAGTGAGCGAATACATACCGTCGCTCGCTCACTTCTCGATCATCTCCCTGCAGAGAGCCATGACAGTCATGTCAACTGGACTTGCTGTATTTAAAAAAAAAAAATACAGCAAGTCCAGTTGCCTTGACTTATTTTTTACCGATACATAGATGTTTGTCCACTTAGTTCATGAAAATAAAGGTTGGCAAAAAAGAAAAAAAATGACAAATTTAAAAAAACACAAAGGAGCAGAACGAATATCGATGGAGGTTGAAATTGCAAGTAAACAGACATCCGTTG